TTCTGTGCTGGAATAGTCAGCCAAATGATTGACCGCGAGTGTATAACCAACATTAGCTCGGTTTTTGGAACGAATATATCTGATAAAAATAAATAAATAATTAATTTAAAATTCTGTAGCTATACCTCAATTTTTTGTGTTTAATTTATGTTTTAAAAATGATTAGTATAAAATAAATAGTCACCTTAAGTTTTGACGGAAATTATTTTTACGATCAAAATGTTCAATTGTATCATTAGGATAATTTTTGTTATGTTTWCGTTTGAATTCCTCAAATGCGGAATCTATATATTCTCCATAGTTATTTATGAACTCCATCATAGGATTAAAATCATAAATATGATTTATGCCAGGTCCAGGGAAAGATTCACATTTTAATTCTAAAAGCAAAGGTTTCAAATATTTAGTAATAAATTATTCAAATAATGAAAATAATAAACTAATCATTATTGATATACCTTCAACATTGAAAATGTTTGGATCAGGCTTCACTGGGGTAAAATGTTTGTAAATGATAATGTAGTCGTCAAAATGTGATAGAAATACTGAATTAAATCCATTCATTTGAAACCGTAATGGATAAGCRATATCATCCTAACAAATAATATCACTTTAATACATTATTATATTATATTATACATATTATATATACCTGTATAAGTGTATAAGTATAAATTTTTAAAGAGTTAACACAAAACGGTTATTCAAATTACTGCCAATAAAATATTTCACCACTTAGATAGTTAGATATAATTTAAACTTACTTGTCTATACAACCACATGATATATTTTCCAACTGTTTTTTCAACTCTTTTAATATAAACCCATTTTTCAACTACAATACCGTTTTCTAAATGTTCGCTGACCAACTAAAAATTAAAAATACATTCAAACAATTAACTTTAACATCRACATATACTTAATTTAGGCCACTGGCCACTAACCTTAAAATCACTTAGGTCTGGAAGAGTTGCCTGAGGTAAAATGTGTAATTCATCTGTTCCATTCACTTCTAAACATTTTAGAGTGTTTGTTTCTGTTTCGGTAGTAACAGGAACAATTTTTAGAGATGCACCAAATGTGCCTTTATTAGACAATTGATATGTTTTTGCCATTCCTAATCAATTCAAAAATTAAATATAAATCAAACTAAAATATTTTTTATGCTATAAAAAATTAAAAATTTACCATTATAATAGTCAATGCGACTGTTGCTAGAGTCTGAATCATACCAGGCACTAAATGGTTCATGCACTTCAGCAAATGGAATAAATATGTCACCTTCTACAGAATAACTTGAACTCCATTTTGGTACACTGGCTAAAATATCCAAACAAATAAACGTAAAATTAACAACAATTGAATAACAATCAATAATTTGATCAAATATCAATCATGTTCTATCACTTTTAGATACAAAACTATTCTGTAGGTAATAAAGTATAACATTAATTAATATTTTAATATTTTGCTATTTAATATTGTCGTCTTACAATATCATGTATATATTCCAATGGTTTTTAAGAACTTTAACTTGTATCAAACACAAACTATCTTAAGAACTTTTGTCCCTTTTRTTTTAATTGATAAAAAAATATTATGTTTATCTATATACATAAGGTGTTTTATTGAGAAATGTTTGGATGATTTTAAATAAAATAATCACCTATTGCCTGTTTATTTATTAATATTA